ACCGAAGAGTATTCATCGCCAAGTTGAGACATAATATGAACTGCAAGATCTTCATCAGTGACAAGGCTACCAGCTAAAGCAAGGTTGGACGCAATCGTCGTCATATCTGCAATAAAGGCTTCAATGGTGCGGTTCCGGCGGGGATTCTTCGCCAACTGGGACTTGAGAGAAATAATATGCCCACGGGACATATTGGTGAGACTCGCGGCCAGCCGAGACCAGACATTGGCTGATGTTTCCGCTAGAGATATCACAGGCTGGACAGCATCTGTGCAACTGCCAAGGAGAGCGCTGAGAAGTATGGCATCCTGACGGTACTAGCAAGTGTACGCAGGGTTGGGCTGCTTGTGCGCAGCATACGAGAACAGTTATGGGGCGTGAACGGAACCATCGACATAACCAAAAAGGTCCAAACCGACAAGAGTAGTGTGGACCTGATGACGCCAAACGAGATAGTTTGTCTTCGTGAGCTTGATTGGGAAATGTTTAGCAGCAGATATACGGATGAAGGAGGGAGCAGAATCTGCAGAAGTCATCGGTTTGCAACCGGAAAGAAACACAGGGGAGCCCTTTTAGTGATAAAGAAAAAAATCTGTTTTAAAGAACAAGCTCTGATACCATATAGGAGATGTATTTTCTCATATTATTCCAAAATCATTGTACAAGGATTTATACAGAGGAGGATGCTACTAGATAGCTAAACACAACTTACGATCCTATTCTCAAGCTAACAACCTAATCTAATACATATGGTTGATACAAAGTAACACACGGATAAGTACAAACCAAAGTATGAATAAACAATAATTACTATTTATCCTTAATATTGGGATTAAAGTTCAACTTATTTGCCGTACCATAATGCCATCGTGTTTTTTTTTCAAATTTTTCAGCTTTTTTAAATTTTTCAAGCCCCTAAATCTTACATCTAATGCACGAGATGCATTCTTATTTCTTTCATTAGATGCATTCTCACTTGGATTATATATATATATATATATATATGTATGTATGTATATATATATATATGTATATATATATATATGTATATATATATACACACACACACACACATATAGGATGTCACCCACCCGACAATAAATAGTCCACTGTTCGGTTGGAAAATGATCAATAAGACTTGTAGGATGGATTATCGATTCTTGTGTTCTGCCTTAAACTAATTATAGCTTAAGAGCCTGATTAAAAATATTTCCTTATACTAAGAATAGTTTAAGAGCTTTGTTATCAATATTAAATTGGTCTTAGACTAAGAATAATTAGGAACACTGTTGATATTGAAAATTGAATAATGAATCCTTGAACTGAATATTATGTGCATGATATTAAATGATTCGTTTGTGAATTCAGATTCAATTTATATGGATGTTCGATGCATTAGATTTCCTTACTCGATTTCATCGCTGAGCGTGTAGTATGTTTTATTTTCTACACGCAGGAAAACAGAAAGAATGATGTGACGTGTTCCTGGCGGCAGATGGGGCAAGATTTTTGGGATGGATTTGTGATACAGATAATATATTAGATTAATAAATTAGTTAATTATTAATTAGTGTTATTTACTAGTTAGTATTTTATTGTGATTAGGGTTTAGAGTTAAGCTATTGTAGGGTTAGGGTTTCATTAGAGTTTCTCTCTATCAGCTATAAATAGAGATGTACCCCCTCTACTATCGGAATGAAGAATAGAAATCAATAATTCTCTAATATATTTCTCTTTTTTTTTGCGGCTGCACAATTGAGTGATCTCAAGGAGCAATCCAATTCAATGTATTTTTCTTTCCAAAGTTCCAACAGTAGATTGAACTAGTAAAAAAATTGTGGATCGGAACTTTGACTGTTTTTTTTGTTTGGTGTTCCTCTCAATGAAAGCACCAATTGATACGCTAAACGTACATGGATAGAGAAGAACTTCGAGCGTCTTCAAGCTCCAAATGGAAAACTTCGAGTGTTTCTGGACTCCCAAGAGAAAAAAGAGAAAGATATTAGAGAATTATTGATTTCTATTCTTCATTCCGATAGTAGAGGGGGTACATCTCTATTTATAGCTGATAGAGAGAAACTCTAATGAAACCCTAACCCTACAATGGCATAACTCTAAACCCTTATCAGAATAAAATACTAACTAGTAAATAACACTAATTAATAATTAACTAATTAATTAATCTAATATATTATCTGTATCAATTTGTTTGTTTTGAATTATTATTTCTAAAAGATATAAATTAATTATGTTTTGTAATTGTGATTTGTTAAAGCTTTCACAAATTTATACTTCGTTACTATTCCGAATAATTTATTATGAAATAAAGTTTGAAAATGTTTTTACCACCCGGGAAAACTACTCTAGATCGGGTCTAGGGTGGTTTGTTGAGTTTGGATCCTAGAAAGACAGAGAAAACAAAGGTTGACTAGAAGGACTGTAGGTGTGAACACCCGTAGTCCAATTATTATTTGGTATGGGAATAATACAAGGAAGTATTACACAATAGCTGCTAGAGAGTGGAAATTCGAATCCCTACTAAGGGTTACAAGCCTATTTATAGTGAAGCTAGTATATAGGCTTGCATGCGCCCATGCCTAGCCACGTGCATGCCTTTTTATCTTGTACTGTTTGTCGTCCCTTCTTCCTTAGAGCTTTCCCTTTGTAACTGTCCCTATTTGGTGCGTAGTGTTTGGGTGGGAATACCTGTATAAGCCCATTCCATTGGTGTAGAGGAATCTATCCTTGCCAAGTGGCTCCCAAGTCATGGAAATCCACTCCAATGGTTTCCTGAAGGGACATTCTTATCATTCGAGGATCTTCTCTGCAATGCCATGCTACATGATCGGTCGCGTGAAAGTCACCCACGTGGTCTGCATCCGGGACCTGGTCATGTACAGATCCACCAAAGCTACCTGATTGCTCATTTTTCGGGAATCACCTGGTTGCTCATGGCTTGACCTGACCTGAGTTGTGGCCTGGGTGGAATACACCCATCACCGGGTAAATACGACTAGATTATCACACTAGATTTGTTGTCGTCGTACAAGGTTGGAATCCATCCCGGTGGGTTTTGGTCCAAAGCTACCGGGTGATCTATTGAAGGTATATCGTGCTTTTCACCAGGTCACGTATGTTGCACCCGGGTAGTCTTCAAGACACTTCGATCAGGTCACTACACTTTTCTCTCTCTGCTAGTGCTACATCATGTAGGTGTATGAGACCCAACCTGTTAAGGTTACCTCTACACGGATAGGCTCAGGTAAACTCTGAAAAAATACATTGAATAATCATATAAGTTTGTTATCAATAGTTTCATTTTGAAACATAATGTTGAAATATAATGTTTCTATAATATATATTTATATAAAAATAGAGATGTTAATGGTCAAAGTGTTGCATTAGAGACCCGTAAAAAGTCAAATGAGAAGTTAATTTTAAGACAGAGGGAGTAGATTGAATTGTACTCCGTAATAAAAAATTAATCGAATATCAATATATAATTGAATTTTGAAATATTACTCTGTATATTTTTTTCTCCAATAAGTCACTCACGATGAAGGGGGAAATTGTTGTTCATCCGGTATGTATTTCCAATGATGCTTTTGTTATTGTTTATGATCCTGTTCCTACAGACGATGTTCAAGAGGATGCACACCATCAAGGCCGCGAGGAAGTTTTTGGGGACATTCTAATTGTTTATGGATGCACAGAAAGCTTTGGAATTCTTGATGTTGAGGTTATTGTTATCTGTAAATCAAGAAGTATTGCACCCGGTTGCATTCTTTTCATCGAGTTGGTCGCATGCAATTATTTAACTAGTGTTGGAGATGTTGTAGGTCCAACACGTTCTTTTGATGCTCCAATAACGAAGGTGTTTGACCCCGGAGGATGGACGATGCATGACACATTTTTTCCCCGTTCTTTGTTGAATTTCCAACTTGAGGACAAGTTGGTTTTTGAGGCGGGGAGAGTGATACGGGATTTTTTATTATTATTATTATTATTATTATTATTATTACTATTATTAATGGTTAGTGGTTATTATTATTATATTAGGTAGTATTATTATTTATGGTTAGTTAATTATATTATTATTAGAAAGTAATATTCTATTGTTAGGATATTTGTTACCATTTATTATTAGGATTTCTAGATTATTTAGTTTCCTTCTATGGTAAGGATTCTTTAAATGTCCTAGCTATAAATGTATCCATTTCAATGAATTATTTATCATTGAATAAAGAAATTACTTTCTCCTAAACCTTAATCTCTCTCTTTCTTGCCTCTTTTGTTCTTGGAGCTCGAAGGTGCTCGAAATCCTTCCCTATCCCGATACGATACCGTATCAATCTATCAATTTATAAAGATATTGATACTCAAAGTGTTACATTAAATATTGTAAAAAAACAAATGAAGCAAAAAGTAAAGAGATGTACCTATTCTATTTATTGATGACTGATTTCAAAAAATATGTAAATAGAAAGGACTATTTTGAAAATGTACTCTATTTTATTATTCAAGCAATACTACTCCTCCATCCTGTTTGAATCCTTCTAATTAGACTTATGGTCAATTTTTTTGAACTTTGAACACAAGTAATGCAAAAAAATAGTGCTTCCGTCCTAAAATCAATTCCCTATTTTGACTTTTGTAGTCAAACATTTTAAACTTTGACCGCATATTATGGGAAAAATACATTGAATGCTCATATACGTTTGTTATCAATAGATTCATTTTGAAACATAATTTTGACATATAATATTTTTATAATATATATGTATATAAAAATAGAGATGTTAATGGTCAAAGTGTTGCATTGGAGACCCGTGAAAAGTCAAATGAGAAATTAATTTTAAGACGGAGGGAGTACATTGAATTGTACTCCATAATAAAAAATTAATCGAATATCAATAATTGAATTTTGAAATATTACTCTGTATATTTTTATTCTCCGTAATATAAATCTATCAATTTATAAAGATATTGATACTCAAAGTGTTACATTAAATATAGTAAAAAGACAAATGAAGCAAATAGTAGAGAGATAATACAAAAAAAATGGCAGTAGCTAGTGTCAATTGACTCCACTCCTCCCTTATTGGGTCTGCCCATTATTGATTGATGCATGGAAGTAAGAGTGTAAGACACCTATAAATTTCACAACATATTTTACTTCAATTGGTGAGATTAGATCAGAGAAATGGATTCAATGAGCTCATCATGTGGAGTGCTCTTCCTCTTCTTGGCACTATACACTCTCCACTCACTCCTAAGAACCACCACAAAAACCAAGCACAAAAAGAAGCTCCCACCCGGGCCTTCCATTTTTACCCTCATCTCCAACCTCTCGGACCTGTTCCACAAGCCGCAACAGACACTGGCGAGGCTCGCGGAGGCGTACGGCCCCGTAATGCGGGTGCAAATTGCGGGCCGGGAGACGACCGTAATCGTCTCCTCGCCCGACATGGCGAGGGAGATTCTCCACACCCACGACGCCCTGTTCTCCGACCGATCCGTGCCCGACGTCACGACCGCGCACGACCACAACTTGTCCAGCCTGGTTTTCCTCCCGGTCTCGCCGCTCTGGCAAGACCTGAGGAAAATCTGTCATCAGAGGTTGTTCTCCAACAACACTCTTGACGGCAGCGAAAACCTCCGGCGCAAGAAGTTGCAAGACCTTCTCGGCGACATGCACCAGAGCAGCCTCAAAGGTTGGCCATTTATCCATACTATAAGCTTAAACTTCGGAGTACTGTTTTTAAATATACTTTTTGCACTGAAATTTGATATATTTTGACCATTGTTTGAATAAAATTTATGTATTACTCCATCCATTGAGAACTATTTGTCTATTTTTGATTTTTTTCTATCAAAATTGGTAAACTTTGATTTCAAATTAAATAAAAATGATATTGGATGTTGATACAAAAATAGTTTTATTAGATTTATTATATAAAATATTTTCAAAATATTATTTTAAAATGTACTTTCTCCGTTCTAGACTTATCTTCTTGTTTATTTTTGCTTGGTCAAAAATGAAATTTTTGATCATAAAATATGAAAAAGTATATTTAGTTATGATATAAATTCAATATGAATAGATTTATTTTAAAAATCTAAAAGTATCATATTTTATAGCTTAAATATTATACCTGGGAAATCGTGGAAAAGCAAAAAGAAAAAAAAAAGTAGGGAGCTGAGTGAGTATTTGATTTTCCTAATTTGTCTTTATTAGGCCGGGTGCTTATTAGGTAAAGAAAACAATTAAATTATTTGTACACCAAAAGTTGTATTTTGAATGTATTTACTAACATTTTATACTAGTGTAATGCTTGTGTGATGATTTACACTGACACAAAATATCCATGCAATTTTTTTATATTAAAGTAGCATTTTGTGTTAGTGTGAATAATTAAAATGTCGACGTACCCCCTGGCAATTTGGGGTAAATTTGGGTACATTGTTTAGTGTACCTCAATATGGTTGAAAGAAAAATGTGCTAATGAGTAATGAGGATGGAAATGGATAGTGTAAAAAAGGAAAAGAGTACATGGTAGATTATGGTTAGTTGAGTAGTAAGTAGGACCTTAAATGAAGTTTTATGAGTTACTATCTGCTAATTTTGACGTATGCGGTTTATAACGTGATACTTTCATCATTAATATTATCAAGAGGGATTCAAGACTCAGTACCAAATTACTTTTTTCGTTCAGAAATGTTCAGCCTATTTAATTTTTTATAATCTCCAATATGGTATTTTGATCATTAATATTTATACTTATACATATATATTTTTTAAAATTTAATATTAAATATTACGTTTCAATAAAAATGTATTAATATTAAATTTATATCATAATAAAAGGTTCGCCACATGGGCAACGTGGGGTCATGGGTGCCGTCCTCCACACATCAGCACTGAGTACTTTGTTTTGTTGCTCTTTTTTTTTTTTGATGAATCAGAGAAGTTGCTTTTTCTTTTTTGATGAATAGAAGTCACTTTTTTTTATGAACCGGAGAAGTCGCTAGATTATTGAAAATGGATTAACTTATGAGTAATAAGATGCATTTTTAATGAACCGGAGAAGTCGCTAGATTTTTGATGAATAGAAGTCACAAACTTGCATTTTTAGCACTTTGCTAGAAATAAGATGCATTCAAATATTAAAAAATATTTTAATTTAAATTCCACAAAAGGCAAGTTTGTGAATTTTGTGAACTTTAAGTTTGTGACTCTAGCATTTTCCTTAACTTATACCGGCATCTTTGAGAATTGAACTGAAATTTTAGTTTAAAATCCGATCTGAGTTTGACTTAAATTTTATTTTTGAAATAAAATATTAGTTCTCATACTTCTCAAACACTACCTATACGAAATTATTACAAAGTATTTTATTCGTTCTTAAATTTGTTTGGTTATTCACTTTTAATCCATCCGAGAAAATATTGTTATTTCTATTAAAAACTCCTTTTTTACTCCTACTAACTTTTACAATACTTATCACATTATATTTTTTGGGTATTTACCTAAATAGTATTAAAACATAGTGACTTTTCTAATATAATACCATATGTTTTTATTTTTCAATGTAGTATCACTGTTCAATATCCACCGGATATTGTTCAAGTAAATGTTCACCGCCACTGGACATTGTTCAAACTAAATGTCTACTATAACCGGATATTATTCCTGTCACTAGACACTATTCAAGTACTATTAACGAAATAAAAATGTTTAAATACTGCATTGGGAAAGGACGTGTTTTAGTGCTATTTAGTACAAATTTTGCATATTTTTTACTATTAGTCATATACCTATCATATATATCCTACTCTTACCGATCACATCTAATGACATTTTTAGAAAATCAACACCAAAATACATTCATTTAAATCCATTAAAAATCCATATAGAAAAGATTAATAAAAATGTTTACGGAATAAAAATCAATATAGAAAAGATTAATCTACTATAAATGGATATTATTCCTGCCACTAGACATTATTAAAGTACTATTTACGGAATAAAAATGTTTAAGAACTGCATTAGGAAAGGACATGTGTTTTAGTACTCCCTCCGTCCAAAAAGTTTGTTACGTTTAGAAAAAAATGCGTCCCGTAAAATCCGTTACATTTCTATTAAAAACCACTTTTACCCCTAACTTTATCATACCCTACCTATCACATCATACCTTTTTTTCTAATAATCTACCCATCACATCTTATTTTTACCCATCACATCAAGGGTATTTTTGGAAAGTCAATACCAAAATATCCCTCCCTTAATTTCCCAAAAAGTCAAACCGTCCCATTCTTTTTGGGACGGAGGGGGTACTATTTAGTGCAAATTTTACATATTTTTTTTACTATTAGTCATCTACCTATCATATCCTACTTTTATCTATCAGATCTAATCACATTTTTAGAAAATCATTACCAAAATAGACTCCCTTTAAATCTATTAAAAAATTAATATAGAAATTTTTTTTAGGGACAGATGAAGTATTTTCTAATTTTCCAATTTAAATCGCATGTTGTTGTTTACGAGATTTGTCCTGAAATTATTTTCAACGCCATTTATTTGAAAATAGGTGGTGATTTATAAAATAAAATTTATGTATTTAAAAACTAAATCAAAAGATCAACATTATAAAATGTGACAAGAATATACTCCCCCATTCCTTAAAACCCTTCTCCTTTCATTTTTTCGAATTCCCAAAAACACTTCTATTTTCTATTAAAAAATCATTTTTACCCATACTATTTCATACCCTACCTATCACATCATACTTTTTCACTAATAACCAAAGTTACCAAACTATCACATCTTACTTTTTACTCATCACATAAGGGGCAAATTGGAAAGTCAACCAAAATTACACTTTCGTTAATTTGGCTAAAAGTCAAAACAGGAACCTTTTAAGAGAACGGAGGGAGTATTATTTTATCAAAATTGCTAACCAAAATTGGACAAAGAAAATTGTTAAAGTTTAATGATGTAAATAGTAAATAAATAATTTAAATGAAAAGGTAGTACTAAAAGCTCAAACTTGTAATCATCATTCATGCCCAACTTCCGACTTAAAATGATCTCTCAAATTAATGGTCATTTGATGAATTCCCCAATGTGTTATATCCTATCTTAATTACAAAACCAATTAGGTGAGGTGGTGGATGTGGGAAGGGCGGCATTCAAGGCCTGCATCAACTTCCTGTCCTACACATTCGTCTCCCAAGACTTCATCGTCAGGTCGGCGGTGGAAGACGACGGCGAGTTCAAAGATTTGGTGTCCACTCTCCTGAAAGCCACCGGAACGCCGAACGTGGTCGACTTTCTCCCGGTGCTGAAGATTTTCGACCCGCAGGGCGTCCGGAGGCACACCGCCTCCTACCTCACCCGGTTCTTTCGGGTGCTGGACCGCCTCATCGACGACCGGGTGAGGGAAAGACAAGGGGAAAGTTACTTGAGTAACAATGATATGTTGGACACTTTGTTGGACATTTCTCAAGAGGATATCAAGAGGATGGATAGGAAGAAGATAAGACACTTGTTGCTGGTACATATTTCTCATACTCCCCTTATTACATAAAAGTCTTTCTCCTAATAAAAATGATTTTTTTGAGGTTTACCTAATAAGAATTAGAGTAAATTTCCAAAATAGTCCTTCGTAAGGTATCTTCCCAAATCAATTCTCAATAAGTTTTAATTACTTACGCGGTCCTCTATAATTGAGATTTATTCCCATAATGATCCTTCGTAAATAATGTGACTCAAATGAGGATTAAATAGAGATATTTGGGTATTTTTTATCCGCTAAATTTAGAAATAATTCTTAAAATGATCATTGATAATGAATTCTTTCTCAAAATCGTTTTTCTAATTAAAGATGTGCATTTGATTTGAAAGTTAAAAGATTTTTTTAAGTTTTAAATAATTCATGAATTATTTATAGTCAACATATTTTTTAAATTTTATATTTAGTTGTACAGAAATAACTGTTCCAAAAATTTGGATGATCAAAATACCAAAATATCTCCATATTAATCATCATTTGAGTAACATTATTTACGAAGGACTATCTTGGGAATAGATCTCAATTATAAAGGACCACGTAGGTAATTAAAACTTATTGAGGACTGAATTAGGAAAACACCTTATTACAAAGGACCATTTTGGGAATTTACTTTAAGAATTATTTATGTTTTTTTAAATCAAAATTCATGCATATACATATAGGATCTACTGGTGGCGGGAACAGATACAACAGCTTATGGACTGGAAAAGGCACTGAGCGAGCTAGTCCACAACCCAGAGGTAATGTCAAAAGCCAAGAGGGAATTGGAGCGAACCATCGGGTTGGGGAAGGCAATGGAGGAATCGGACATCGGGCGCCTTCCGTACTTGGAAGCCGTTGTCAAGGAGAGCCTGCGGCTACACCCGCCCGCCCCACTCTTGCTCCCGCGGAGGGCCAAAACGGATGTCCTAATCTCTGGAGGGTACACTATCCCTAAAGGCGCCCAAGTCCTCATCAACGAGTGGGCCATCGGGAGGAGCGGGACCACATGGGAGGACGCGGGCTCGTTCCTGCCCGAGCGGTTTTTGGGGTCGGAGATCGATGTCAAGGGCAGGCATTTCAAGCTGACCCCGTTCGGGAGCGGGCGGCGCATCTGCCCGGGATCCCCGCTCGCCGTCAGGATGATGCATGTGATGCTGGGGTCGTTGATCAACTCTTTTGACTGGAGGCTTGAGGGCAATATGGACCCTAAGGACATGGACTTTGACAAGCCCCTCAGAGCCATTCCCATTGCAGTGAAGTGCTAGTTACTTAACTACTGCATGCATGTTGTGTTATTGTTCCTCAGGGGGGATTGAATTTGGTGCACTCATTCTTATGGCCGGAGAATAAATTAATTAGTGTACTCTATTAATGGCTTTCAATAGTATTAGGAAAGCAAGTGTGTTTGTATTATTGCCTATGTTTTTTAGTTGGTGTGAATATGGCCTATTCAGTGAGGACCTATCAAGTTATTACGAATGGAACTGAAGCTTGTTGTAATAAAGATTAGCCTTTTGTTATTAGGGACCGACCAGCAGTTTCATTGACATGCGATTCTTATAAAATTTATAATAATTGGTCTCTATATAGAGATTACAAGAGAGAATTCTAATTATGGAGATAAACTATGGAAACAATACATTGCGGAAGGTATTAAACCGCTCGGAAGTATATTTGTTTCTTATTATCCCCGCAAGCTAATCAATAGAGACAAGGGGCAGCTTGGAGCACAAGTATTCGAAAGGAGCTGGCGGAAGTAGTTTTGGGAGGATAGCCTCTAGAAGTAGAGAGCTATATCTTCGTTCCATGAAGAACGAGATTGAGATTATGTTTTTTGATTTTTTTTTCTGGTGAGAGTGTTGACGATTGGAGTGAGGGCGGAGAGTTTTCTTCTTTTCTCCTTGTGGGCCATTCTTTCCTTCTCTATATGTAACACCCTAATCCGTTCAGGTCTACAGTCCCTTTCAGACTAAAGTATAAACTTAGTAATTTTAAAATTTAAAACATTTAAAACATTTTTATTTATCATAAATAATAATCATAACATAAACAGTAATAATATGGAGTGTTCAATAATGCGGAAGCAAATTTAAACATGTCACATGGCAATAACAATTAATTATTTTATGTCTTTAAAATAATAATTCAAATCCACAAATCCATCCTGACCATCTCGCCCCATCTGTCGCCAGGAATATATCACTTCAATTCATTCTTTTTGTTTACCTACGTGCAGGAAATAAAATATACTACACGCTCAGCGGTGAAGCTGAGTAAGGATTTTTAATGCATCGAACATCCATATAAATTGAATCTTAATCCATAATCAAATTATTTGATATCATGCACATAATATTCAGTTCAGGGATTCAACATTCAATATTCGATATTCAACATTCCTATTCAACAATGCTCTCAAACTATTCTTAGTCGTCTAAGGCCAATTTCTTGATGTTTACCAACTCTTAAAATAATTCTAGTTTAAGGTACTTCTAACCAACTCTTAAACTATATTCTAGTTTAAGAGAAACGCGTACGAGTGGTGGAAACATACCACTCGGAACGTAGATTATCCTCCCTAGCTGACGTGGGCCTAGTTCAAATGGGTATTCAAGGAAGAATATATCTCAGAGTCGTTCGTGGAACAGAAACGTGAGGAATTTTTGCATCTTCATATGGGAACCATGAGCCTGCGAGAGTATCTTCAGTTGTTCGACCACTTAGCAATAATGATGGTGAAGTTTTTGGGTGACACCAAGAAACTCTGATCATGGGCCAATCGAGTTTGAGAAGTTGGTAACCAAAGAATCCCACACAGAGCTCAGGTTTGAGTTTGTCAAGGACGATCATCGACATCAACCGAACCTGGTAGGGGATATTCCAGCGAGGAATTTTCACTCCAGCCCTTTCAGTAGCTCCCATGGCTAGCCTCTCTTGATGCCACCTCCTTTTATTGACATCATATCTGATTCATAAACTGTCTTGTTTTTGTAGTTGAACTAGAGTATGGATGCAGGCCTGCACCGGCTCGTATGGAAGAAGAGGAAAAAAGAAAGAAGAGACTTCCATATGATGTAATTTTGAGTGCACCACAAATTTTCTTGATGGGGTGTTCTAACTTATAAAACCCCCATATAGTCTAGATAATGTGCCACATCAAATCGTTGCTTGACGACCTCCAACAAGGTTGCCCACGATGTAAGTAAAGGATCAATAGATATAGATATAATCGGGATATGAAAGACTTCAAACGCCTCTAAGCTACAAAATACTATAAGCTCCAAATTGAGAAAAATGATCGAGAAGAATTTGAGAGATCAGAGAAGAGGAGAAAGAGATATGAAAAAGAGTTATAGAAGGGCTTGGGAATAACAATTTGATATCTTTTCAAATAAAGTAAGAATATCCCAATTTATAGAAAAGATAGAAATTCTAGTCTTGTCGATTCAGCAACAACATCAAGGGAAAGAACCGAAAAGAAAACCATTGAAGGAGTGTCATAATCCCACTCATAAACAAAAATATTAAATAATGAAATAATTATAATAACTATGGGTATGCCAAACATAGCCCCACCCAGAACTCTTATGAATGCAGCTAGTATACCACGGTCGTCCCACGTACGTAACAGAAACACCTGAACAAAGAGAAACTTAATAGCGTTTCCATAAATAAATCCCACAAGAAATATATACTCTCTACGTCTTATAAACTCGTTCTCCTTTCTTATTTTTCTTTGTCCCACAAAATATTTCCTCTTTTAATTAAAAAACTACTATTATCCATACTAATCATTATCCTACTTATCAGATCATTTTTTTACAAATAATCAACCATAAGATCATACTTTTAGCCATTACATCAAATGTCTTTTTGGAAAATCAACACAAAATCTCTCTCGCTTAATTTTTCTAAAAGTCAAAATGGGGTAAGGAAGTATATTATTGTCATGCGTTTAGAAACTTGAGCCGCATATGCCCTTTATTTGAAGGGTAATTTACCTAAATAGGACTAAAACATAATGACTTTCTCAATATAGGATCGTATATTTTTATTTCCCAATATAAGACCTTTAGTCATTATTTATTAGTCATTATTCAAGTAAATGCCCATGATCAGTGGACATTATTCCTCCCACTAGACATTATTAAGTACTATTTAGAAAAATAAAAAAATTTAAATCCTATATTGAGAAATGACTTATGTTTTTGTACTATTTGGTGCAAATATCACTTATTTGAAACGTATGAAGAGCAAACAAAAGGGAGCATAAAGATAGAGTGATGCACCCACCCGAGAGATACTATGGATGAAAGATAGATACTATGGATGAAGAACTCAGCCAGTCCTTATATTCTTGTTATCCTGCATCATCATCGTCATCGTCATCATCAAAGGAGATGTTTTCCATTTTCAGAATGGCAGAGTTAGAATAGAAGATGGGGAAAAATATGTAAGAATCGTCAATTTTAGGTTTCATTGGTCATACCTCAAGCTATGCCTTATATTGTGTTTTCGGTACCTTCTTTGAGACGAACAATTCTATGGTTTTGTTAAGATCTCTCTTCAAGCGCATGCTGCTATCGTCAATGTCCACACCCTCCAATTGTGGTGTTTCCAAGTCTCCAAGAGAAAACATCTTCATTTGATGGCATCCCTTTATAGTTACTCCAGTTAAGTCTGGGAATTGAAAGGTCTGGTTTTTCAAACAAAATCCCTCAAAGCTCGGTAGAGCATCAAGTTCCAGTTTGCGCAATCCATTTAATGTGATTCCTGCTGCATCTTCTTCGCTCTCATTTCTCACGATTTCTTTCATCTTTCTGCACTCCTTTACCGCCAATGTTTCCAGATATACCAAGCTTTTGGCAGTTGAATCTGTGAACAAATAGGTCAATTGATGACAGCCAGACACCTTCAGATGTGTTAGATTTGCAAGTGAAGCAGAAGCCGGAACCAGCATAATCAAATTAGGACAGCAATCCACTTTAAGAGATTCTAGATTTAGATGAAGTGGTTGAAATTGAGAAGAAGAAGAAGAAGAAGAATGATCATCATGATTCCATATGGCATTCAGCTCCTCCAAATATGCAAGCTCTAATTCCTCCAAGGAACTACAAAATGTATGTTGTTGTGGTTGAGATGAGAATATCTCCTCAAAGGCACTATGTTCCACACGCAGCCTCAGCAGCTTTGGAAATCTTTCAAGAAAATCAAAAGGAAGGGATGATGCTGCTGCTGCTGCTGATTCTCCTCCAACAAAGCCTCCCAGAGTAAGATCCTCCACTTCATCAAAGAGATTCGTCTCGAATTGGTGGTTTTTTATGAGAGTCACATCTTTTTTACTCAATGATAGTCTTTCTATGTTGGGAATCACCTGCATAGAATAATTAATTGGAAAAGAGGTATCAATACTCACTTTCATTCATCCTCCTACCATTTCCTTATGTGGTTTCTTCTTTGTAAATAAAGTTAACAACTAATAACTAACATTAGAGAGTACAGAAGAAGAAAAAAAACATACTAACCTTTTCGGCCAAGAAGAGGTGGGTTTGGCTCTGTTCTAATTCATCTCTTTCACCCGAGTTTGTAATAATACGTGCCATTTCTGTGCCAAATGCGGTTATGTTTTCGCATTGAGACACCCGTAACTCTGCGAGTTGTGGGCATTCAAATGTACATCTTTGCAGACAAAAACCCTTGAGATATGGCAACTTCTCCAATTTCAAAGACTCTAAACGAGCAAACAAGAACTTTGAAGATTTTTCCTCTAAACTCTCATTATCCTCAAATCCTTTAGCAGCTGATCCCATAAAAATGTATTCTAAACTTTTACAATTAGTGACATGTAGTTTTTGCAGAGATTGAAACCATTTACATCCATCCTCCGGACAAAATATTGTTTTTATATACTGACAATTACGAACCACCAATACTTTCAAACGCCTCAATGACGCTACCAAATGTGTGGGTATCACACATTCAGATAAGAAGTCACAGCTCTCAACGGTTAAATCTTCCAATCTGCTAAAAGCCATGCGCTGTGAACGTTTTTCCATCCATAGGCTTCTCATCTCAGGGCACAGCTCCAAACCTTTTACCTTAGCGATCAAAGTTCACAATATATTAAATGTTGAACTGACAAGTTACTACCCAAACAACTAGTACTTCATTATCCAAAACAAATCTAAAATTAACTGGTCAATTGGTTTAACCTTTAAAAAAATTGATATGAGAAATTTTACGTTTAGAGTGTAATACAATTCTATATTTTTAAATGTTTACCTAACAATTACTCCGTATAATTAGAGGATGACGATTGTTGGGGAATCGGGAGGGAAGACAACACTGCGAAGCAGCGTTATAGGATTGATATACAAACAAAGAACATGAAGAACGTAACGATTATTATAGGATTGGTGTAGAAAGAACATAAAAACGAGTTTTCTTAATATTATTTAGAATATGGGTAATTTTGAAGTATATACATATAGACGGATACATGTTTTTTGGTTTTTTGATTGATGCTTTAAGGCGCACCTGCACTCGTACGTTTTCATATTTTAACGCTTTCCACACCCCCACTCGCACCCGAATGCGCTATGGCTTCATGTGACGTGGGGGGAAGGTGTGAGGAAAGGCTAAAGTTGCTCTTAATAAGCTACACAAATTTAATGTAATTGAAGGTCAAAAAAATCAAACTAGACGAACATTCTTAATTAATACTCCAGGTAGAATGATCAAATACTTACGACCTCCAAGATTACTACAATTTGACTTTTTTTGATCAAGCAGTGTAATACTTTGACCATAAATTAAATATATTTTTAAACAATCAAATGCTATAGAAGTTCGATATATCAAAACTATATTTTAAAATAAGTTCAATTTTACTAAATCGATACTATAAATAAATATGCTTAACCCATAACTCGTGGTCAAACAGTTTTACCAAAAAGTCAAGCCGTGATAATTATTTTGGGACGGAGGGAGTATCTGTTAACATTGAGAATCAGAGCAGTTATGCATTCATATATACCTGAGATAGCAAAAAGTATTGGATTGTTTGGTTAAGGCTGCCTTCCCAGTGCGGTTGTTGTTTCCCCATGCTTCTTTCTTCAAGTGTGACACCTTTAAGATTTGGTGTATGCACATCTCCTTGGCAGAAGATGATCATTCCTGGACATTTTCTAATAATTACTTCTGCTAAGGATGGAAAGCTGAAGGCATGGTCATTAGAATTGCAGAAGCTCCTCAAACATGGCAAATATTCGAGTTCCAAAGATTCCAATTTTTGAAAAACAATAATCTCCCTCCCACTCGTCGTACCATCACCACCATCCTCTTCCAGCACTTGTTGCTCTGCTACAACTTCCTTCATTTGGCAGCAATCGGTTATTGTCAACCTCGTGAGCTGCGACAGGCCTCTTGAGGTTGATGGCACCAGCAAACTGGTCATTTTATCGCAATAACTTACTATGATTTCTCGAAGATTGGTGAAATAAATCAAGGATGGTCCCAAGTTTATCAGGTTGGGACACCCTGAAATGTCCAAAGTTTGAAGGTTTTGGCAAAGAAATGCCGGCTCGGTATCATCAATGCATATCTGCTGCTCCAAGAAGTGCCTTGCCTCAAAAACCAGTGTTTTGAAAGTTGCAACGGCTTCATTGTCCCGAGGAGGCTCCAGCTCCACAGATGATGAAGAGAATAATATAGGCGGCTTCTCGTCCCCCTTAAACTCCAGCTTCTGTAGATTTGGAAACTTACTCTGGTACAATCCACGCCGAATGGTAGTATCTACTGACTCATCATCATCATCGTCCAAATATAGAAACACTTCTTCAAGATTGGAAAAGTAGTTATCCGGAATTTGGCCGTCCCATACCATCTTTGCGAATTTTCCATCACAGGTGAACCTCTTCATATTTTGAACCACCTACAAAACAAGCAAAGGCTCTCGTGATTTTTGAATAGTGAAACGTAAATATTCTTTTTTTTTTGGAGAGAGGAGGTACTCCCTCTATTTTCTTTAACTATCTGCTTCGCTTCGCGTGCCAAACATCACACTAACTATATATAAAAACATACATTACTTAAAATACAACAAGTTTACCAAATTATTAGTATTGAAAATTACATTTAGTGTATTATTGTAAATATTTTTTTGCTAATAAATTTTATGAGATATTGTAGGTCAAACAATAGACTCGAAAAGGAAACCAGACAATTTAAAAGGAATGGAGGGAGTATTTATTAATGCATGTCAGCTTTATTGAGGCTCTTATCGCTTCAGTTACGTTGTAAAAACAGAGTTGGATGTTATGGAAAGAGTTGAAAAAAAAAGGGAAAAATTGGAAGAAACTAAAAGGAGTTTAAAAAGTTAGAAGGAATTGAAAGAAACTGAAAGCAATTGAAAAAAACTAGAAAGAATTAGAAAAAACTATAACAAGTTTAAAAAAATGCATTAAAAAAAAATAAAAGTGTTGAAATAATTATTTTATTTTCTAAATCTGATATTTTATTTAAGTAATTTATACTCTACTTTCTTTTAGTTTTCTTCCATGTAATTATATTTTATCTCAAATCATATTAGTAACTTTTTTGAAATTTGCACTCTTATTTTCATTACTTTTTAAATTAGAATTAATATCAATTATATAACTTTTTGTTTCTTAATATGTATATCACTAATTAATTTGACAAAAATAAAGAGACAAATAAAACAATAGAACGGGGTCATATGCACACTTAAAATTTAAAAAATATTTGTTGCACATTATTATTTCTTTGTATAAATTCCTAATTTAGAGCATTGATTTTATTAAATAGATATATGAAAACATATATGTTTTCATATGCATGGAATGTGCACAATATAAGAAATAGTATGCACATTTAAAAGTTATGTAATGCTTAATGCATAATAAATATTAGGATGCATATTTTTGTTTGTTTGTGTATTTTCATTGATTATTTGATAAAATAAAATATTTTTCCCATCTTTTGTTTAATTAATTATTTTTATACAAATTTGTAAATAAAATAAAATAAACTGTGATTTTAATTATGGACTGGGGTGAGACTGTGAGAGGAACCATACTCATTAGGCTAAGGATTATTGATGTTTAAAATTAATTTCTCATAGTATATATATTAGTATTCCCGGCCTGCATCCCCAATTAATTTGAAAACTCACTACACTAGGGACCAAGGTCAAAGTTCAATAAATACAATTCCTTGATGTCATTATTATTTTGATAAAATAATATAATATTGGTATATCTTGTTATGTAGATTTTTTTAATATATTGTTTTTAAATATATATAGTTTTTTCTATTAAAAAAATAAAAAATATCTCCATTTTCATATAATTTAAAATTTAATAAAATAATATATATATATACACACACACACACACTCGTATAATGAGGGGCGGATCAACATGTAAAAATACGGGGGCAACTGCCCCCGGTCAATTTTTTTACTTCGTAATATACAACATTAAAAATAATATTTTTGTAGAGAATGAAAAGATCGACCTCGGTAAAAAATTAGTTTGCCCATTGACAAAAGAAAATCTTAGTTTAAAAGTACAAAATAATCACATAAAAAACATATACGGGTAAAATATTTAAAATATCATAATTATATTATATATGTTACCCGTATATATATTTTATATATATATATATATATATATATATATATATATGTTATACGGGTAAAATATTTATTTTCTACTTTAAATATAATATGTTATACGGAGTATTTTTTATCATTATCAAACGCTTTAAAAAGTCGGGAGTGTCACCCCTGAATCTCAGCATACTCTTTAATTAGTGTAGATTGGCCCCCAATCAAATTTTTTTCTGGATTTGCCATTGCCGGTGCGTATAATTAATTACTCCGTAATACGTAGCATATGAATAAATAAGGGAATGCATGATTTGATGGATGATAATATACCTTTTGGTGAGGAAATAGAGGATACTCCTCATCTTGCAACTGTGATGAAGGGAACATACTGGTCAGCCGCGTCTCGCATTCCTTAATCTCTACTTCTTCCAGACATGGGAAGGACATGACCGTCGTCTCTTGCGGCCAATTCCCCCACACATGCTTCAGTTGTGGCAACTTGTGCAGGGACAGCTTCTTCAATGAAAATGGTGAGTACTGTATCTCCTCACTTGTGCAGTGTTCTTCGAAATCGAACACCACTTCCAGCTTGTCACAATCTTCAACCTCTACCCTTTCCAGATGCCTCAAGCATTTGAGTACATGAAAGGGGACCAATCTCTCCACGAACCCACACTTTTCAACTATCAATCTTTTTAAAATGGCGAATGAGTTGTGTGGAAGTTGGTCATCATCAGCCCAAAGCGATTGAATCGATCTGTTCAACCCTGCTACCTCCAAACTCTCTATCTTTGGAAAGGAAATCTGTTGGCATATTAGGTGGCAACTTAATTAAATTAACCAAATCTAATTTCTTCAACTGTTTCACCTTTTTTACTCTTACGAAAATGATAAATACTTAATTATTTTGACCTCATTAATCCAAATTTAAATTTAAAATGGTTTTCCCTATAATTTATTATTTTTAATAAAATATTATTTTTCACAACTATATGTAAAAAGGTTTAATGCCTATCTCGGATTCGATATATCATAAAATTTACGATTTTTTTTTAGAATAATAAGTAAAATACACTCTTCACCTATAAATAAATTCTATATTTGTTCTTTATACGTTTACATGATACTCGTTTAATTATTTTTGTTTAATATTGACACTTGTTAAATAAGATACTTTCTTCCCCAGTAAATAAATTTTACTTTGTATTTTTGTTTTGAGGCCTAATATGTCGCTTAATTTAAGATATATAAAATGTGAATTCAATGTTTTGATATATATGAACTTTTTGAATAAGATTAATTATGAAAGAGAAAGATTTGTTTTTACGATAATATTCTTTCCAATTCAATACACTATTTTTTACTCTCTTTATTTATAAAAAACACTAATTAATAAATAAGATCATTTTTTCACATATAGATATCTTTAATATGAGTATTAGTTTATAATATGTTAAATTAATATTGATTCTATTTTATTTAATAATAATAATGTAATACTAAACAATACATTTTCAACGACTACATTAAAAAATTTAAAAATAGCATATGACTCGACTGAAATTGTAGAAACTTTTAGATAATAAATAAAATAATCTCTTCACTCATAAATAAATTTTATATTTTGTATGTAATTATGATACATTTAAATTAAGTTAGTTTGATTATATTTATTTAAATATTGACTAAATAAAATACTTTCCTCACCCATTATGAAATTTCATAATTTTTTTATGCCACCTATTTTAATTCATAGAAAACGTACAATTAATATTTTGGTATGAAATTTTTGAATTCATTGAATTATGAAAGAGATACATTCATTTGTATTATAATATTCTTTTCTAATTCAAAAAACTTTTCCTATCTCCATTTATAACAAAACTAGCTTTCAATTCCCCCCCCCCCCCCCAAAAAAAAAACTTTCAATTAATAAATACTCCATAACATGCATTTTTAGTTTTAAGTCAATGTCATTTGAGTATTGTTTATGATATGTTATAATTAAGTTAGTTTTGATTCTATGTATTACAATATTGATAAAAAATTAAAAACAAATAATATATTCTAGAGATTACATTATAATATTTATAAAACAAGAGATGACAGGACCCAAATTGTGTTGAAATATTAAAAAATACTATGCCTAATTTCATAGTTCAAACATATTGCTTTTACGATTTAATTTTAGTACTAGAAAATTTTTGTTTTATAGAATTCAGATAATTTATGGTTTAAATATAAAAGTAGATTATTTTTTATTATCTATTATGATATGATATTATTAATTAAATGATAAAATAGAATTATCCATCATTATTGGGTAAATTTAATTTTAGAATAGATATCATCAATTTCATTAGAATATACAAGTATTTTTTATTTTATATTGTTTTCAATAAAGGTATAATGACAGTGTGCTACCTATAATGGTGGTAACAATGGTAGTGTGAACTCCACATTAGGTCTTAAAAGATATCTTGGTATTTTCATAATTTTTATTCCAAAACATGGAGTTCTCCCAATATTAAAAGATAAGGTTCAATTCATATCTTATTTCGCTCAATATTTGAAGAATGATGCAGCGAACAAAAAGTATAACTCTATAAGCACTACAAAAAAAAGGAAGCAATACCGACAGGGGACAATATGTCGCTTTTATTTAATTATTTAATAGTATTGTAGGGAATAAATATGGCCTACGGGGAATATATAGTTCAAAAATTATGTTTTATTTAGTCATTTAATAATATTTTAGTGAATAAATATGGATGAAATATATAGGATTAGAATTATATAATATTTAATTACTTAATAGTATTGTATTGAATATATACGTGGGCAATATAAAGTATCATATTATATTTAGGGTCTTTTCTATTAGAATTGTAAAGTTAAATGTTAGAAAAAATTAGGAGTTGAAAAAATGAAAGAAGTAAGAAGAAACTGGAAAGAGTTGGAAAAAATTGGAAAAAGTTAAAAAAATATTAGTATCAATAAAGTGTTAAAAAATCACTAAATTAAATTATCGTTCAAATAAATATGTAAGAAAAATAATTTTGGATAAAAAAAATTCATTATTGTCCCTGTTTAAGGTGAAAAATGATCAATTGGGTTTGGGTGCAACATTTTAAAATCACAAGAACTTAAAAAATAAGTTTTGAAAACAAAGGATATTGGTAAAAAAATTTCAAACTACATGTGGGAATAAGAGTTATTTGGCCTAGAGAAAATGGACAAATAACTAGGAAAAGAGAATAACTCGAGCTAAATACTGTTGGGTATGTAACGGTGTATGGATAGTTGAATGTTAGAAGAAACTGAAAGAAATTAGAAAAAATTAGAAAAAATAGAAAAAATTGAAAGAAACGGGAAGAAACCAAAAGAAATTAGATGGAATTGGAAAAGCACAAAAATATTGAAAAATAGAGAAAAACTATACAAAAAATTATTTAAGTTTATTATATATATATATATATATATATATGTATGTATGTATGTATGTATGTATGTATGTTTGTATGTATGTATGTATGTATATATATATATTATTCTCATTTTAATTGTTGTCGTAATTTATTACTCCCTCCGTCCCATGAAACATGGCACTTTTGCTTTTTAGGAAGAATTTAAGGGTAGTGTATTTTGGTATTGAATTTCCAAAAATATCCTTTAATGTGATGAGTAAAAGTATGATTTGATGGATAGATTATTAGTAAAAAGGTATGATGTGATAGTTAGAGTATAAAAAAGTAAGGGGTAAAAGTGACTTTTTAATAGAAATGAGAAGTGTTTTGTGGGACGGATAGAAAAAGAAAGGAAAAAAGTTTCATGGGACGGAGGGAGTATTATTATATTCATAATTACATTATCTTAATCAATATCTTTAACATAAAAAAGAATTGTCATTTTTTGTTCACCAAAATCTACTTTAGCAACAAAAAAAATGATTAGAATATAAAATTAGCATAATTTTTAAAGTGTTAAATTCTAAAAAATTATTTTGGTTACGTTGCACTTCAATTTATTTGTGTAGTATTTATTATAAAGAAATATATTTGTAATTACACTTTATATATTACAACATTTTATTTTAAATATCAGAACTGTCATATAATATGATCAAATCTATTTTTTCTTTCATGATTGACATTATATTTGAATTGTAACTCTTATTTTGCGAATAAAAATATAGAACTGATATTTGGTGCATTTTTATGTTTTACTTATAGTTTAGTATTTTTCTCTAAAATATTTTGACTTTCAAAATTTTTTATAAGAATTTGAAAATTTTTTTCTTCATATCAATTTTGAAGAGTGTGAATCGTAAAAATAGTGACATGAAAAAATTAAAAAAATTGTTTATAAACTATAGTTATGAACATAAGAATTGTAATAATAATAATAATGAAGATAATACTAAGAATAATAATGATAATAATAATAACATTAAAAATACATCGTTTTTAGTATAATTGTTTGGGGAGTCAAAAGAGTTCGAATAGAATGAAAATAGTTGGAAAAAATAGGAAGAAATCGGAAGAAACTAGAAGAATTTGAAAGAAATTGGAAGAAACTAGAAAGAACTGAAAAAACTAAAAGTTAAGAGTTTAAACTTTGAAGAAGAGGCACACTTAAGAGAGCTAAATTAGAGTTAAAAGAATAATAAGAAGTTTATTTGAGCATACCTTGCTGTTGAAAAGTGATTTTCGTTTTGCATTAATCTCCTCCTCCTCTTGCTCGTAGAATGCCGAAAGCATGGGCATATTTGTCATGTTCATAGTACGCAATGCATGAAACACAATGACATCAATTATTGAATCTTTATTAGTAGAAGACCCCAAAATGGCTTTCATAGATTTGCATTCTCTGACTTCAAGATGTTCCAGTCCCACACGTTGATGAGGAAATGCTGCTGTCCCACCCAAAACATTAGTCTTGACTTTTACATCATATAAATACAAGTCTTGAGCTTTTCCCAAAAGCTCTTGCATCTGATCATCATCCAAATTCACACCACACACTCTCAATCTCCGAGAACAACCATCACCAGGCACGAACCACTTAGACGACGTTCCACCATGTGATATCATGTACCTCTCCAAAGGCATGTCTTGGAACAAGTCTTCTGGCACAGCAATCTTTTGGGGAATATGGATGGTTAAGTCATAGAGATTAGTCAAATGCTTCAACTCATCAAGGCTTGCATTCCTACTCTCTTTGGTGGGTCCTTCAATAGCTTCCCATTGGCAGAAGCTCCCTTTCATGTTCAAAACCTCTAATCTAGTCAAACTAGATAATACTTTTGGTGGAATCACTTTTAAATAGTAGCAATCGGATAAATCCAACACTTGCAGGCATCTCAGCCGTGCCAATGCGCCCGGCAATTGCTTAATTTTAGACCCAGCAAAACTGAGAACTCTTAAACTCTTCAAATTCCCAACCTGCGATATGTCTTTCAACCCACACGATTCCAGACACAATGTTCTAAGCTTTTGTAGGTGGCCAAGTGTCGACAAGGACGAAAAGCTCACACCGCTAAATCCCATCGCTCTGAGTTCATTCAATGATTTAAAGAAATTGTCTGGAATTGTCAAATCAGAGTCTTCTTCACCATTATTTAGCAAGAAGAATTCAAGTTTGGGACAAGGCAACTCACCTGGAAGTTTTCTATCCCATTCGTCCAAGACCAATCTAGTGCAGCCTTCTATGTTTTCTAAGTCAACTTTCCCTCCTTTACGTCTCACCGCAAGGGGCTCTTGTTCTTCAAGTGCAAAGTCACGAAAGAGCTCATGCATTGTGACACGATCATCAGAAAAGCTATCAAGCAACAAACTTGAGGCCTTCAAATCACTTATATCTTCATCCAATGTATCATGAGCATCTTTCATGGAGTGTACATCTTCAAGTAAACCTAAACCCACAGCATACCTGAGTAAGTCTTTAATCAAAGGGTCGTGAGACAGCATGGCTGAGAGTAGGAAAATAGATTGCAGCTCGCTAGTTAGATAACCATAACTCAGCTTTAACGAAGGGCCTATTTCTTTATTCCATTCTCGCAGGTATTTTCCTAAAGACATTTCCAACCGTCTTCGGGCAGTCCTCCAATTGCTTACCTCTCTCTTATGTTTTAGTGCACGAGCAACTGAGACTAATGCTAGAGGCAATCTACCACAACGTTGGCACACCTCTTTTGCCACAGGTACCAATTCTGTATGATTGGATTCATCAAACTCAGCGTTCTCTTTAAATAATTTCCAAGCCTCTTCTTCGGACAACTCACCAACTGTAAAAATGTTTTGGCAATTCATGTGGGTGGACAACAAATCCAAATTTCTTGAAGTGAACAAAATTTTACACTTTGGTGGAATCCCAAGTAAACTTAAATCAAGTCTCTCCCAAAGATCATCCAACACTACAAACACATTTTTTTCCTTCTCCAACCTCTGAAGAAGATGCTTAGCTCTTGCATTCACAATCTTCGTATTAAATTTCACTCCAGCAGGCTCTGCAATTTGGGCTTGGAGTGATTTAAGCTTCGAATTAGGGGTAACAGTCGCCCAAACGACCAACCCAAAAATCTCCTTGTGCTCATCAGCTACCTTTGCTATCTCTTTGGCTAGGGTAGTTTTCCCCACACCAGGAAGCCCACACAACCCAACTCTGGAGGAACCCTTCAATGCTTCCAAAACCTGATTCCTGATTGAGATTCTGGATTCTATAAGTTCATCATTTTCCTCGCTGGTAGGCGGTACACCTACTAACTTTGGAGGAATGAAGTGTGAAACACTATCAAACTTCCCTTTGTCCTTGAGCTCTCGAATTCGCATTGTCATCTTCTTTGCTTCTCTGCTTATCCGATGGCGTAACCAAAGATTGGGACATGACCTCCACGAACAATCCTGGGGTCCCTT